AAAAATTCATTCAACAAGTTGAGAAAAACAACAATATTAAACAAAAGGCAGCAAATCAGTAATATTTTTTCAAACTTACCTTGCCGCAACTTCCTTATGCAAGGTACTATTCTACTTTTACTTCAACTAAAAACTGCGCAATTTAATAATCTTCATTTAGTCTCGATTATTATTGGGTCTATTTTTTGAAATAAAAGCAGTGGAGACATTTGAACGTAAAGGCGCACGCTACGAAAACCGGCTCAGCGGCCATCGGCCATTCCTAGTCTTCCCCTCGTGCCCTCGCGTTCTCCGCGGCTACGTTAAAATTACGTAAACAAAAACTTTGATAATAATTAAAACGAAATGGAATAAATAAATAAATAATATTTTTCACGATTATGATTTTTACAGGGTGTATTTACCCTAATGAAAAGTTTCGCCGTATTTGAGATATCGCCATTTTTAGATATTTTGAATCCATGTAACTTGGTCTACATATTTTTTGTATCAATCATTCGGCTTTTCTTTCCGTATTTTTCGACAGAGTGCATATTAGGAATATCGAAACAAAATTGAGAAAGGGTAAAGTGTTTACTACCAAAAAAAAAAAACAATATGTTCTAGGAACAATTCATAAATATTAAATATCTAAAAATGCTGTTATCTCAAAAACGATGAAATTTTGCATAAGGGTAGATGTGGTCAAACAGCTCCCAAATGACCCCAACTATCACCCATTGAAAATTTCCTATCGATGTACCAAACACCCTGTATATTGAAAAAAGTTATTTTATAGTTAACAACCGTGCAATCTTCTTTTTTTTAAATATTATCAGGATGAATTCAATTGAATATTCGTTGTTTTTTTGTATGTTGTTATATTTTTGGGCTTTTTTTTATTTCTTCCTCTGTATTACATAGTGTTGCACAAGACAAGATTTCTTGTCTTGCTGGGCCTATTCTTGTCTTGTCTTGCAAAGCAAGACAAGAAATGAAATTCATTCTTGTCTTGCCCGACTCTTGCAGAAAAAAATCTTGTCTTGCAAACAAGATTTCTTGCAATTTCTTGTTCTTGCATTATTTGTTTTGTGACGTCATAGCCAGAGTCTTGCTTGCAAGAGTCTTGTTGCAAGATTCTTGCTGCAAGACTCTTGCTTCATTCATTACGTTCAAAAGCGCGTCGGAGGCGTGTGTGAAAACACGACGGTTTTCTTCCACACACTTCGGTTATGAAACCGTGTTTCATCATAGTCTGTGGGGCCCTTAAGAATATGATTGGTGTCATTGTCATTGATAACGTGGTTGTCCTGTTTCCTGGTTTAAAGTATTTTTTTTTTCGAGGAAACAGTTTCAAAAACACTTTCAAAACAGTTTCAGCTCTAACGTCACTATTTTATGCACTACAATGCTAACAGACCTTAAAAAAAATTCAACTTGATTCTTTGATGGTTGAAAACGGAAAGGCCTTCATATTGAGCTTAAAATTCAATATTGTGTGTGCAGTGTCGTCCATCATGACCAAAAATTTTCCTAGCCATACTTGCTGCAAGAACTGTTAGAAACTGACATCTGTTTGAGTGTTTCAAAACTACAATTTCAAAACGTTTTGTCGCAAAAAAATGCCTTAAACTTTACAAACTGATATGCTGACATTTTTATCTCGTTGTTAAATGCTGCAACATTGCCAAAATAATTCAAAAATATGCAGAGAAGGAGGCTTCATTCTTTTGCAAGATTGCAAGAGTCTTGCAGAATAATTTCTTGTCTTGCTTGGCAACTTCTTGTCTTGTCTTGCTTTGCAAGACAAGAAATTTAAGAGAGTCTTGTCTTGTTCTTGCAGCAAGAACAAGACAAGAACAAGAAATTTGCAAGAATCTTGTGAAACACTAGTATTACACAAAATTTCAATTCTTGCTCCTTCTTATGAAAAGCTACAGATAGGATTCAGCGTAGAACTATTTTTATGATAAATTTCCCAGTCCATTTTTTTCTAATTTTAGAAAATGAGCTATTAGTATCATCTTCAGTAATGCTGTGAAATTTGGTAAGCCTTCGCATCCAAATTTGCCAATGTTTTTTTGAAATAGTGTGAATGAGAATGTATCGTTTTTTATTAGTGGTGATATTTGTGTGACTGGCTTCAAAGACAATACTACCGGCTTCCATGAATATTTCATTACCTATTATCAAAAGCATATGTGAATTGAAAAAAAATATATTTCAAACAATTACCTATTTAAAAGTTGTCATTATTTATATCTTTAATTATTATTTACATATTATACATACCTACAAATGAAAGAACGAATATTCAATTGAACTCCTAATAAGTCCTGAAGAAGAAACCAAAAAAGTTTCGAAAGTTTAACATTATATAAGAGTTATCCAATATAATTCTTGGCCGATATATCCTGTTATTATTGAAAAAAATGGGTATCTATTAATTAAAAAAATGTAACCAAGAATAAATCTTCTTTAAGTTCAGTAGGATTTTCACTCAGATTCAGATTCACATTAATAGTGTCGCTATTTATATTAATGCAATTCATTTTGCCTTTGCAATTCACACTACAAGAAACCCGCTCCTTTGCACTGTTACTAAAAAGTATTGCAGTTTTTGTCATTGCAAAATAGGGAAGTTATTTCCCTTATTTCGTCCGGAACTGGAGCTTGGTTCATCATTTTTGGAACCATGAAATTTGGTTCATCCATTGGATTTTCAAATAAAAATGGATCTTTTATGTCAACTTCGCCAACATGACTATTGACCCATATAAATGTTTAATAATTGCATGGGTATTGAGATGAGTATGTTTTTTTTTTATAAATATACTTACCTACCTCAGCAGATGTAGATTGGAAGTATCTTCTGTCTGAGGCAATTCCTGGGCTTGTTTCTGGCTATTATTAGTAAGTTTTCCCCTGATTTCATTTAAATCGCTGATGTTATGATTTTTGTTTAAGAAATTTACAAATTACAAATTCTCTGGAAATTATAATTCCTTCTTGCATCATTGAAGATTCGTGGAGAATAAGCATAGAACAATTTTTATAATACATTTTCCAGGCCATCTTTTTTTTCCGATTTTAAAAAATTAGCTAGTATCACATCCAGTAATGCTGTGGAAACTTGGTAAGCCTTCGCATGCAAATTTGCCAATGTTTTTTGAAATAGTGTGAATGGGAATGTTTCGTTTTTTATTAGTGGTGATATTTGTGTGACGGTGACCGAATGTGAATATTTCATATTTCATTATTATTGAAAGGTTCGTGGGTAGAATATAGAATAGAATAATAATAAATTAATAATTTCAAAACATCAGTATCATCACATTTAACTACAAGCTTTCCATTTATATTTGCCGATAACATATAAAAAATAATTCTGGTTTCAGCTTCTTTGAGTTCTTTGTGATAATGTGATTGCAATGAAGATTTGTAATGAATTTGTATGTATGTATATTTGGGATGAATCAAAACCACACAAAATACACAATTTTCTACAAAAATCATCATAACAATCCCTGAATCCCTATTGAAATAAAAATACTTCACGAATATTGAATATTAATATTCTTAAATTATTAATAGTCTAGCCATTGGATAGACGCCGGGGTGCGGGGTAGAGCGATAGTCGCCGACAAGTACGCTGCCGCGGCACGCGTTTTTCTACGTTCAAAAGTCTCCACAGGGTTTATTTTAGAAAATAGACCCAGCATTAATCGAGACCAAATGAAGCTTATTAAATTGCGCAGTTTTTGGTTAAAGAAAAAGTAGAATAATACCTTGCATAAGGAAGTTACGGCAAGGTAAGATTAAAAAAATATAAGCGATTTGTTGCCTTTTTTTTAATATTGCTGTTTTTCTCAACTTGTTGACTGAATTTTTGAAATTGATCATACACCAAAAGAAAGAAAATTGAATGAGGAATCGAACTAAAAAAAAAACTTGTTTCTATCTTGCTTCGAACAAAAGTTATGCGGATTCGAAGTAAAAAAAACTATATCCATTATTTATTCAGTTTTTTCCCTATATCTTTCATCTGGACCAATGGAGAGTGTCGTCAATTTCCATTTCCTATGTAAAAAAACATGCTCTTTCAGATGGTAAAGGTCTCATTTGGTTGGAAGTCACCTTTTTTAACTCGAAAACTAGAAGGCTTTCGGCGCTCCATCCGACGGACTATACCCCTGCCGGCGTACGTAAAGCATGCAGGTCTATCACCAGCGATAGAGCCATTTATAACTGAGAAATTATTTTCATACATGAATTCGAGCAATGCTCTACCTTCCGGTCAGCTTTTAATATGTTCTGAGTACAAGGTAAATTTTGTTTAATTTTATTTATTCGGCATTCATTTCATTAGTCCCTAAACTGTTTTTTAGCCCTGAAGATGCCTTTAAACAATAAAGGCGAAACGTCGGCGAGTATTTGATTGGCTTTTATTTTTTGTCCTTATCCGACTACTTCCTTCGTCCTTTGGATAAACTAGGTTCTTAGCACAATCTTTCAGGTAGGTGCATAGAAGCAACATTCCTAGTGCATAAATAGAACGTCCAAAAATGAATATTTCAATCGAAACAATCTTAGAATATTCATTAAACATTCCTAAAATAACATTCCAAAAAGCACTTTGAGGGAATATTCTGAGAATATGAATGTTCTTTCACTGTTATGATTTGGGAATTGTATTGTCTAATCTATCATAGCAAAAATAATGACCTTGAAATTGATTTTGAACACACAAATTAGACATGAGAAATGGATTCCTCGCAAAATAATCATGATTTTGTGTCTAATAGAAGAGGATTTATTAAAAATACCAGTACAGACGGCGGCCATATTCAATAGCTAACGGGTCACCGTGATACTTTCCTGAAACTTTAAGACCAAAGTTATGACTATACCAAATTTGGAAGACTTGGCACAATGTGCACGATTCTTATGTATTTCCCTTATGCTATGTATTGCTTAAAGAATAAAGCTTATTAGGTACGTAATATCAGCAAATAACTTACTCCTGAAGAATTCAACGCAAGAAAATCCAATGGCTCAATTTCTGGCTTGTTGTAAGGTTGACCGTGGGTATAGTGATACTGGCTACGGTAATTGTGTCCATTTTCGTGATAACCAGAGCCAGATTTGAATGGACTTGAGTATTCGGAGGGAAATACTATAGCCCTGAAAATACTTATTTTAATAATATTTTTAGGAATCATATTAGAATAGAAGTATTTTTCTTGTCTGGCGCATTTTGGTGCTTTAAAACTAAATGTTGAATTGAACTAAATTTCATTTTCAACACAACACAACTGCTTAATATTTATTGAAAAGATAGGTATTTGAATATAGTCTTTAGAGGTCAAAACAAGGCGATAGTACGGGTAAAAAAAGATAGATTAACCATGAAATTTAAATTTCCTTTCAAATAATAATATCAGTATTGAAAACACGGACAATGCACAATCTCAATGTTATTAGGAAAAACCCTAGGTACCTACAAAATATCTAAAAATAAACTTTGAAATTATCCGAAAAGCACGTATTTAATTATTATTATGAAACGCTATCACGATTTGCTTTTGTGGTTCAACCTCACAATAATGGTACCTACATGTAAAAGCTTTTTGTTGACTAATAAAGGTAATTTAATTTCAAAGAACTATGTTCAATATTTTTAATTATGCTTAGCTTTTGTGATCTAAGCTAAGAAGACTAGAGGCATATTAGGTACCTACAATAGTTTGCGATTTTCCCAAAACCAGTCGAGACTTGACTTGGTGAGTAAGTAATAGAGTATAAGAGATAATGCTCCTCAAAAGTAGGCAAATGTTTCCTGCGGCATTTTAAATGAAAAGATCATTGAGCTAACCTTTTTTTTTATAAAAATTTGGGTGCTGCCAGTTTTCTCAGATTCTCAAAAAATTAGTTTCTTGGCGCACTTGGTGAGCTTCCTCTTGATTATCTCTACGATTTAGATGTGCAGCTTGATCCCACATAACAAAATTGCATCCTTAGAATGTACTAAGAATGTTCTTTTTTTAGGAGGAATGTGCTTAGAATGTTCTTCAAAACCATTGCGAATGTCCTGAGAATGTTCTGAGAAAAGATTGTAGAATTACTGTTCGCAATACCCAAGAACTTCCTGGGAAATCCATTAGGATATTCCTAGAATATACCTATGAGATTCTCAGTACATCCTGAAAAGAATATTCCGGTTTGATTCTAAAAATATGCTCGAAATGTATATTCTCATATTCAAATAAAGTTTCTATGACACTATAGTTATGTTCTCAAAAGAATATTATACCAATATACTTGAAATATTCTTAGAATATATCTACATATATCATTCTCAATATGCATCCTAGACATAACATTCTTGTTTGATTCTAAGGATATACTTGGAATGTGAATTTTCTTTTCCAAATAATGCTCCTTCCAGTCCTTTTATATTAAAGGCAGTAAAATAATTGTTGGGAAATTTCTCTGGAAAACACAAGTGTTTAACCAAAGCTCCGGTTTCGAGATTATTATGCTCTGTGTATGCTCTCTCGAAGCACGCCAAATGAGAGAAACAAGTTCCAAGGTGATTCAAACGCGAGGTAAGATGTAGATCTTTAATAGCGCGTGGCTCCCTCTCTTGGAAGTCCTACAAAGCAAATGAAAAAGAATATACCTATAATATTCTTAGTAGGTTCTAGATAGAGCATTATTGTTTAATTGTTCAATTAAGTTTTTGAGTAGGTACTTTAGATAATTAGGTGAACAATATGGAAATATTCTTATGATGGGTACCTACCTACATAAACTTCTCAGTACAACTTGGTAGGTATATTCTTAATACTTGATAGAGATATTAGCCGAAGGAAAATTTTTTAGGATACATTATAATAATGTTCGTATGAGAATATTGAAATAATGTTATATAAAGTAGGTTCATAGCACAATCTTTCAGGTAGGTGCATAGAAGCAACATTCCTAGTACATAAATAGAACGTTCAAAAACGAATATTTCAATCGAAACAATCTTAGAATATTCATTAAACATTCCTAAAAGAACATTCGAAAAAGCACTTTGAGGGAATATTCTGAGAATATGAATGTTCTTTCACTGTTATGTGGGATGGAGCACCTATTCATAATTCTTTCAATGTGTGAAGGGTGTGAAGCTGGTTAACTCAGAATTTTTCTCGTGGTCGGAGCGGACGAAGTAGTTCAGTCGTTGTGCTCCGTGATCCCCAGATAAATGTCTTTGGGGGGACAATAAAAAATAAGGTTTATGCTACGTGGCCTCAGACCAGAGAAGATCTTCAGGTATTGCATGAGAAGCTTATCAAAGTAGATATAACTCGACAACAGTTAAGAAATATAATCAGCAATAAATCGTTGAAGTAGGTATTGAGAAGTGAATGAGAGAATTTGGTGAAATAATAATAATTGTTGAAGTATGTGGTCCTCAAAAAATCAAACCAAAACAAAAATTGTTATTAAATGCCTTCATAATTGAAAAAAAAAATCGCATTCGGAAGCCATATTAGATATTAATTATTGGTTAAACAAAATATTTTCATGATAATAGTTATATTAGGTTCAATAATAGATGATTATTTAAATAACTTATTTACATAACATTGAAATTACCATTACCAATTATTTTTTAATTTAGGTTTATAAATAAGGAATTCGCTTATGGAAAAATGATTAATGTACAATTCGAATCCTATTGTTTTGCCTCTTTATCACATTGATTAATATGAATTCAAGTTATAAAAATACCCTTCATCTCGTTTTTCATTTCCATACGCTCCTCTTGCTTGCACCTCCACTCTTCCATCTTCACTAATTATATTCACAACTAATAACAAAAACACAATTCCACCCAAGCAGTTCTTCATTTTTTCAATTCCGATTATGTATCAAAAGATGCCGGTAATTACGCCCACTCAAACTTTCTAAAAAAAAATATTTGTATGCACTTTTAGACGCCAATAATTAATATTTAATTAGCAAATAGTGGTAGGTGCTGCTGCGCGACGAAAGCAGGTTCGACTGGTAGGTAGTACGTACCGCTCGAGGTATCAGTGATTCAAGTTGCAGACGAGTTTATTACCTACGTAACAAATTCAAGCGTGAGTAACATATAGGTACCCATGAAAGTGCCGGTGATTAAGAAATGGGACTTTTGACCAATAATATTATGATGGTTTATACCGCTAAGGATAGGCTATTAACAGTGGGTATTTTTTTATTTTATTGGCTTATTTATCGGAATCCGGTCACCAATAAAGGTGACTAAGTCAACATTGCGTGATTATTTGATGAGTAAAATACCTTAACCCCTTAACTATGGTCAAAGATCTCTTCTGCCTCATCTCATTTGCTTGCCCGACGCAAACTAGAAAAGCTGGCTGATTAAGTCAAAAACGTATTCGTTAGCTATGCAGAGATAAGTAACATGAAATTTACATTTTTGGACTGACTCAAATCACACGCGTTGCCGTTTAGGGTACCTCAGGCAACTAGACTTTGACATTTATAGGTCTTCATGGAGAACACCCGTACTTTCGGGGCTTGGAATTGGGAATCAGAAATTGGGTAGATGTCACAATGCCAGTGGTCGCTTCCTTACTGATGAAATGGTAATGGCGTTTCCTGAAGTCTATAGAGCTATGAGAGTCTCTTTCTCCGGGTCGCAATCTTAACCGGAACGCCGCGTCACCACCTAGTTTCTATGACCTTCTCGGCTGCTGTTGCATTAATTTGCATATTATGTATTTGAGCGTTTCTCGGATAGCTTTACTTCCCCTATTTTGCTTGTTTTGTATAAAGAAGCATTTTCGGCATCTTCCTACTCTAGTGCGTGGACGGGCAGATAGTGTATCTACTTTTCGTCTTAGCGCTTGCTGCAGGCTGCAGGTCTGTATCCCTTTACTCCATCGATGATTGAAGTCTTCGGGATATCTGGCCACCCTCTCGATTTTACAGTTAAACTCCTACAGCGCCCTTGAAAGACTCTGCGCTCTGTTTTTCAGTCTAATTTTGACTCACTTAGTTGAGATACCTGTTTCCGTACCTCGAATCTAAGACGCAACACCTGCAGGAAGAATTTGTTTTACCTTAGGAATATTCTGAAAAATTTCTAGCAGTTTTTCCCATAAGGCCAGAACCAATGCTGTTGCTTTTTGTTGTTCATTGGGATGATTTGCCAGTTTTCTTAATTATTTTTTTTCGCCTTTAATCGTTTCTATTTTTGGCGTTTGACTTCTTCTCGGACCTTTGATGCCTCTCCGTCAGCTTCTTCTCAAATATTCTTAAATAATCCGGCGATCATGTCAATCTTTCCGTCCGGTCCTTATCGAGCTTTACTAAAAGGTTCGAATTTTTACTCTTTATTGATTGGCATTTTGTGGAGGTTTAAAGAATAGAAATATGCATTCTGTGGCAATATACGTGAAATGTTCCATCAGGTTGCAATTAGAGAGGACAGGTGCTGCCAAAAGTTTTTGTTTAGAGGAATGAATAGAGATCAAGATCCTTATGTTTTATGTTTATGTGACGAAAGTAATGATTTTTGGCGCTATTTGTTCACCATCTTCACCATCTATTGCGCAATTTGTTAAAAATTTTAATGCTAATAATGCAAAGGAGGAATATCCTGATTCCTGATATTATGAATATAAAGTTGAGGCAACATTATGTTCATGCTTACTTAGACTCTAAATCAAGTTTAAAACAAGCTATAAACACCATTCAATCTGTAATTGAAGTTCATGAACGCGGAGGACCTGACCTAGTACGGTCAATTGGGTAAGCAATTCAAGAGAAATATTAAGTTCTATTCCAAAAAGTCATATGTCCCCAGAAAAAATTCTCAATATTAGTTTCCCAGAAAAGAAAAAATATTAGGTTTATGCTGGAACACGGAAGATGATGATTTTATATTTCCGTTCAAATTCGAAAAAGTTTTTGCAAATTTGATAACTGGTGAGCAAATTCCCACAAAACGAGAAGTGTTAAAAAAATTCTGATCCCATCGGATTCCTATCACCATACATAATACAAGGAAGAATTATAATACAAGGAAGAATTATATTCCAAAATTGTTGGAGAAAAAATTTAGAGTGGAATGGAAAGTTACCTGATAAAGTTTTCGAGAAATGGAAAAAATGGTGTGAAAATATCGAAAATATTAATAATTTGAAGATTCCAAGGTAATATTTTTCTGTTTGCGATGGCCAAGAAGTCGAGATGCATATATGATGCAAGTGATAAAGCTTTGTAACATTTGAAATGTCACAAGAACATATTTAATTGTTCTTAATTATTTCTATATGTGTATTGGATTCATTTAAACAATGTTTAAGAGTACTATTTCGTACACCTAGTGACATCTATGATTTTTCTGACTAGGTGAGACTGAAAAGGTCGTCTCTGGAGAAATCCAATAATTTTGCCTTTTGTTCTTGGCCATCGAGCCCAAAATTATATAACTTTAACTAGCCAGAAGAGTGAGTAGTTGTGCCAGCTGGAACGTTTCCTGAAAAATCAATAGATTGTTGATTTTTGTGTAAATTTCTGAAAGTGAGGTTATTATCGGCCGTTGAGGTATGTAAACCCTTTTTTCCCTTTGATAAATGAGTCCCTATATTTCTTCATTCCGTTCAGGCAATTTGGGAGAGTCTTAAAAATCCACGCCTACACTTCTGGGTGAAAATTTGACGAATTTGAGACCATGCGGTACTGCATTTCCGAAGAAAGTCTGGGCCCCCTCCTACAAGGAAAGTTGTGTCCTGTAAGAGATTGATCCCCGACCATTGTTTGAGTGCCTCCAGCCAATTTGGTGCTTCCAGATCTCAAATTTGTGAAAATTCCCAAGGATTCCGTCCAGGCTTGTATAATTACCTACCTATGGGTCCCGTTTATGTGCCTCAATAATTACAGTTTCTTGATATTATCTATTTTCTACCGCTCCCTGTCGATTACCTTTATTAGCTAATTATTATCTTTATAATATTAATTACTATTTATTATTATTATTTTCTTATCGTTCACTATCGATTAGCTTAATTAGCTAATTAATAACTATAAAATCATTTACCGACCTATTTACCTTATTGTAGTATCTGGCTAAAATAGCTAACTACAGTTTAATGTAATTTTTTATCGATTAATTATTAATCATTATCGTAATCACATAACTACTATTATTATCGTTTTCAATATTTTTATCTAGTATCCAATAATTATGGATTACTATAATTATTCCAAATTTATTTCTGGGATTCATTAACTTCTAGAGGTAAATCTAACCTTTGGCTTCAAATCAATAAAGTGGTAATTCTGCAAGGTATTTAAATCAATGTAAAATCTTTAGGTAGTTGGATTTGAGTTTCATGGTTACATATTTTGAATTTTAATTACAGGTAAAAGGTAGAGCTCTCCCGGATACTTTTATTTATAGGTTCTGGCATTTATAACTCCCTAGGGATTACTTAATACCTTAATGCATTTATAAATTTGATTTTATTGCTTTAAGTCAAAAATTGAAGATTAATGATATTGTGACTTCATCATTTGTATTTAGGTAAATTTCTACATAGGTATATTGATTATTCTTAAATTTCAATACTTACTATTGTACTTATTCAAATTGAGTTCTGTTTTTGAAAAGCTGCTTAATGATTATTTTTTTATTTAAAAAACTTGGATACTAGACAATAATTTTTCTTAGAACTATAAAAAAAAGTTCGCCATCTTGTCACAAACAATGACAATTAATTTTAATAAATGATTGTGTTTAGAATTCCAAGGCTTGTGTTTTTATTGAATGGGTTGAATGTCAGATAGCTATTGGATTTTAGATTTCTTTTACCTTTTCAGATTTTTTTGAATTTATCTTTTTAAACATAAACAATAACTAATTAATGGAATAGTGCCTAGTTTGGCTATTCCTTGGTAATCAAAATAATTTATACAAACTAGTGGCGCCCTCTCTCTACTGTACCAACACCAAGGACCACCCCATGCTAAACAACCACTGAGCAATAGTCGAGCACAGATTATGAACATTCTTTTGTTTCGACAAAAGAGCGTTACAGCTTATGCTGCTGTATGTTATTTTATTTTTACACTTGAAAAAGTAAAGTTGGTTCCATTAGTTGCCTCAAAATGCGAACTTGGTCCTTTGAAATTTTTACAATCCCCAGAATGGAGTTACAAGGAGCAGTTCTGGCAGCACGTCTAGGAAAAATGATCACAAATGAAACTAGGTATCGCATTTCCGAAATATTTTATTGGACTGACTACTGACTCAAGGATTATTTTAAGCTGGTTGAAATCTATGGTAGATTAAAATCATACGAAGCCCACAGAATACAAGAAATTTTACAATTTACTGACACGAGCAACTGGAATTGGGTTCCATCAGCTATGAATCCTGCAGATTTAGCAATTAAAGATATTAAAGAGCAAGAGGTATTAAGAAATTCTCTTGTTTCACGGTCCAGTTTTTCTTAAGCAACCCGTAGATGTTTGTCACGATTACACAGATAAAGATTTGTTTACCAGATGCTAAAAGATTTTCAAAATGGTATAGACTCCTAAGAGAATCTGCATGGATTTTCAGATTTACACAACATAAATTTTGGATGTTGGGAGATGCGTAGTTGAACGCCTTGATTGTGGAGAGCTGCGAACAGCGGTGATGTGCGACCTCAGCAAGGCGTTCGATTGTGTTTCTCATCATATACTTTTAGATAAGATGGAATATCTGGGTATAAATGGCCCATCACTTTCTCTTATTCTCTTATAAAATCTTACTCGAAGAACAGGAAACAAAGTGTTCATGCAAATGGTGAACGATCTTTCTCTTGAAAAAATAAAAAAGAAGGTAGAAAAAAGGCGAACTTGAAGTTGATGAAATTGAACACGCAGAAAGATTATGGATTAAAAACATTCAAAGCCATTGTTTTGAAGATGATATTGAATTATTAAAATTATATAAATTCTCCCCATTTTAAGATGATGCCGAAATTTTAAG